GGGTCTCGAACCCGCGGGCTCAGGCAATCCACTCATCTCAGCCTCCCAAAGCGCTGGGATTACAGGCTGAGCCACCAAGCCCGGCTTTCACAACATTTTATAATTGACTTATATAGAATCAGAGAAAATAGCTTACATGTCAAATTTCACAGAATTGACAGGTAAGGATATTTTTGTTTTTGTTTTTAATCCATCGGTCCATAAACTTCAGTGTCCACTATCACAAAGCACTGTGGAGATTTTGTAAAGGACAGCTTTCCATGGGGCTGGGCTTGGTAGCTCAGCCTGTAATCCCAGCACTTTGAGAGGCTGAGGCCAGTGGATTGCCTGAACCCGCGGATTCAAGACCAACAGGGGAAACTTGGCGAGACCTCCTCTCTACAATAAATCAAAAATTAGCCGGACGTGGTAGCGCGTGCCTGTAGTTCCGGCTACCCGGAAGGCTGAGGCGGAAGGATCGCCGGAGCCCAGCAGGTCGAGGCTGTGGTGGCCGGGAGCATGCCACTGCCCTCCAGTCTGGGTGATGGAGTGAGACTCAACTCAAAAAAAAAAATCAATCTGGTCACCTTCGCCTCCATGGAGTCACAGCACAGCACTGGTCATAGACCAGAGGCTGGAGGAAAGGGTCAGAGTCTTCCTGAGAACCTTCTGCCCCCAGCATCCTCTGTGCATTCCTGCTGCTTTTCCTCCCAGTGAGATGTGTTGACTCTGGACTTTGCCCCATGGGCAGGGGCCGGGGAGAAGGGGGTTAGTTTAATCCTATCCTTGCCAGATAGGAGCAGCTTTCCCTTGTCACCGAGCTGCTTCTCATAGGAAGGCAACAAAGGAGTTGACCATGACTGACCTTTGCTGCCTTGGAGTTCCGTCTTTTACAGTCACCTGTATGATATGAATGAGAAGGAGCACATCAGTATGGGTAGCTAGGGTGAGGGCTCATCTTTATGGAGTTCTCATAATGTCCCCATGCTTTATGCCTCCATAATAAAAGAAAATTAAGATTGCTAATCTAACCGGGCATAGTGACTCACGCCTATAATCCCAGCACTTTGGGAGGCAGAGGTGAGAGAATAACCTGAGCTCAGGGGCTCAAGACCAGCCCCAGCAACATGGCGAGACCTCGTCTCTACAACAAGTCAAAAAATTAACCGGGCGTGGTGGCACATGTCTGTAGTTCCAGCTACTTGGAAGACTGAGGCAGAAGGAACACCTGAGTCCAGCAGGTTGAGACTGTGGTGGCCATCAGTGTGCCACTGCCCTCCAGCCTGGGCAACAGAGTGAGACTCCAACTCAAAAAAAAAATTGCTAGTCTTACTATTCCTGTTTTTATAAATGGGAAAACGAAGTCTCCGAGGGGTTAAACATCTTGCCCAACACCTCACAGCCAGCGAGTATTAAAGGCAGACATCAGGCTCGGGTCTGTCTGGTTTCAGAGCCCTGTCTCAACCGTCCAGTTTGACCACACAGGTTCAATAGCCAACAGAGAAAACAACCTTCATTCCCACTGTCAGGAGTCTATTAAAAGGAGAATTCCCAGGAACTTAAATCAGATGAGAATGTAGCCCTGCGAACCTTCCATGAGAAAGTAAGGATTTCTAACGTGAGAAAAAGATTATTTCAGTAAATACTAGACTTGGTTCTTCGCCCTTGGTCTTGTGTTGCAAGATTACAAAGGGCGAAGATCATGGGATGAGAAGCCTAAAAGTTTTAATTCGATGAGAGCTCTTATTCCAGCAGTGGAAAAATAGCTCTGCTGTCTGGGGATTATGAATAAGCTGTGTGGTTGCCCAGAGTGGATGTAAACAATCCATTTTGGACATAAGAGTATTCTCAGATCTTCCAGAAAGACTTATGCAACACTCTCTGTTCCACTCATGAATCACACATCACACCTGTGTGAACACCGTGGACGTGGGCTTATTCTGAATTCAAGTCTCTGCCCCGCTCCTCAGAGGTGGCTTAACTTTGCTTTTTGCTTTCCTTTTAGATTCTGATGACCGAACAAGACACCACACCCACTCCCTCAGACTATTTTCTAATGGAGGAAAAGTATTTTATATCTAAAGAAAAGAATGAATGCAGGAAACAACCGTTCCAGAGAGTCATTGGTCCGGAAGAAGAGATCATGCAGATTTTAAGCAGCTGGTTTCCAGAAGAGGGTTACGTGGGCCGGATTGTCTTAAAAACCCAGCAGGAAGTAAGTGTGGCCGGGAGCAGCTCAGGACGGGAGTAACGTTTGCTACTCACCACCTCCCTCAAGTTCAGAATGTCTTCTGCTTGCCACTTGGTTTATACAGAGGGTGCCCCAAAAAACGGGTACACGTTTTAAGAAAGGGAAAATTGTATCAAAATTGAAATACTCAATATATACCGATAATAAAAGATGAACACAAGTCATATTTGACTTCTGCAATGACCAGAGGTGCTCAGGGCGGTTCCCATGAGCATCCAGACACTTCTGGTGACGGCGAGCGATTGCAGGCCTCGTCGCTGTGAGAGGCCTCCTGGGTCTGCCCTTATGCACATCACACACGGGACCACGCGTCTCAAACTCATCACGAATGTGCAGCACTGTTGTTAGACGTGTCGGAGGTTCTGTTGTATGCTCGCACCTCTATTGTCATCGGACGTCCACAACGTTCTCGCATTTCAAATACCACTCCAAAATGGTCTTGCGCTCCTCCAAGTTATGCTTCTGCCCTTTTCTTCGACTGTCCTGCCTGCCGCATGGTGATGCTAGCATTCATTTGATGAACATCATCTTTTGCACGTTGGTCTTCCTACACACCATACATGTTATCTATGTGTTGCTTTTTGAGGATGAATTGAATTGCGGCTACCGTAATTCAATTCATCCTCAAAAAGCAATACGTAGATAACATCTCTTAAAATGTGTGTACGTTTTTGGGGGCACCCCTGGTATTTATTCTTCTTAAGTAAATGTGGATAATGGATTTTATTATTCTGCACCTATTCGGAATGTTATCTCTAAGTTACACCCTGAGCACCTCTCATCATTGCAGAAATCAAATGTGACTTGTATTCAAAGGGAAAAGGATTCCTTTTGTGTGTGTCATCAACTGTGAGTATAGTATTTTATTTATGTGTGAAAAGATGTAGTTTTGAGGGGTCGTGTTATGGTATAATGCAAGACTGGTAGGTCTTTTACATTTTGGGGTTGATTGCCTCCTATTGGTGCCTACTAAAGTTTGAGCTCTTAAAATGTTCTGTGCTGGCCAGGCTCAGTGGCTTAGACTGGAATCCCAGCACTTTGGGAGACTGAGGCGAGTGGATTGCCTGAGCCTGCGGGTTCGAGACTAACCCGGGCAACTTGATGAGACCGCATCTCTATAATAACTAGAAAATTAGCTGGACGTGATAGCATGCGCATGTAGTTCCAGCTACTTGGAAGGCTGTGGTGGAAGGATCACCAGAGCCCAGTAGGTCAATGCTGGGGTGGCCATGAGTGTGCCACTGTACTCCAACCTGGGCTACGGAGTGAGACTCCAACTGAAAAAAAAAAAAGTTTTGTGCTTATAAGTAAAGCAGCAGTATTTCTATGAAAATATTCCATAACTTCACACAAAGTAAGAATAATCTCATGCGGGCACAGTGACTCATGCCTGTAATCCCAGCACTTTAGAAGGCCAAGGCAGGAGGATCGTTTGAGGCCAGAAGTTCAAGACCAACCTGGACAACACAGTGAGCCCACATCTCTACCAAAAATTAACAAGGCATGGTAGCACATACCTGTAGCCCCAGCTACTTGGGAGGCTGAGACTGAAGGATTGCCTGAGCCCCATAGGTAGAGACTGCAGTGGGCCATGACCATGCCACTGCACTGCAGACTGGGCAACAGAGTGAGACTCTGACTTAAAAAAAAAAGTAGAATTTCTTGACCTTGGTCAGATTTAGTAACAAATTATATTGTGTGTGCTAGTATTCTCATAATCAGTCCCATAAAAAATGCAACTGCCATGTTGACTAAAAATTGGTTGGCTCTTGTTTGACTTTGTTGGTGGAACCCTTTTTTTTTTCTTTCTAGAATAAACTGGTAAGACCCTACTAACTTACCGCCATGTGTTTTTTTGTTTGTTTGTTTTTTGAGTTGGAGTCTCACTCTGTTGTCCAGGCTGGAGTGCAGTGGCACACTCGTGGCCACCGCAGTCTCAACCTGCTAGGCTCAGGCAATCCTTCCACCTCAGTCTTCCAAGTAGCCAGAATTACAGGTATACGCTACCACGTCCAGCTGATTTTTGATTTATTGTAGAGATGAGGTCTCTCCAAGTTGCCCGGGCTGGTCTCGAACCTGCAGACTCAGGCAATCCTCTCGCCTCGGCCTCCCAAAGTGCTGGGATTTTAGGCTTGAGCCACCACTCCCAGCCCTTACTGCCATTTTTTTTTTTTATGCTTTCTTTCTTTTTTTTTGTTTTTTTTTTTTGAGTTGGAGTCTCACTCTGTCGCCCAGACTGGAGTGCAGTGGCCACTCCCGGCCACCACAGCCTCAACCTGCTGGGCTCCGGCGATCCTTCCGCCTCAGCCTTCCAAGTAGCCGGAATTACAGGCATGCACTACCACGCCCGGCTGATTTTTTGATTTATTGTAAAGATGAGGTCTTGCTGCCCAGGCGGGTCTCGAACCCACAGGCTCAGGCAATCCACTCACCTCACCCTCCCAAAGGCGCGGGATTATAGGCTGAACCACCGAGCCCGGCTCTTACTGCC